CCCAGAAATAGGGTTGCTGGATTATGGGAACTCTATATGTAGTCTTCTGAGGAACCTCCATACTGCTTTTCAGAGTAGTTGAACTAGTTTACATTCCCAGCAACAGTGTAGTAACTTTTCCTTTTAGCCTCTTCCCTGTCAGCATATGTTATTATTTGTTATCTTGATAATGGCCATTCTAACTGGAGTGAGGTGGAATCTGAATATGGTTTTGATTTGCATTTCTTTCATGGTCAGACAACATTTCTTCATGTGTCTTTTGGCTATTCTTATTTCCTCTTCAGAGAAGTCTCCTTTTAATTCTTTAGCCCACTTATTAATAGGGTGGTTGTTTATTTGAGGATTTGGTTTTGGGGTTTATTTTTTTTAACTTTAGGTATATTTTTGATATGAGGACTTTATCTGTTGTATTGCTATTGAAGATCTCCCAATCTGTGGGCTTTCTGTTTACCTAGATAGCTATTTCTTTTTTTATTGTGAAAATACCGTACAGAGGGGTTACAATTACATGGGCAAGATAATGAGTACATTTCTTATCAAGCATTGTTGCCTCCTCCTTTGTTTCCCCTTCCCATCCCTTCCTTTACCTCCCTACCCCCCTACCCGATCTTCCTCCCCACCAAAGTTGTAAAGTTCGTTTTTCGACATAACAACTTGTACATCTCATTGTTGCAATGGGTCCATCTGTATCCCTATTTAAATAATTTGTTTTTCCCTTCCCCTACACAAATTATATCAACATCAAATACAAAGCTCTGCAGTGTAATGCAATCCCATCTATCCAGCCTTTCTTTGAATTGTTGTGTTTTTGGGTCTTTTCAGCCTGTACCAAGGAGTCTTAGTTTATCCCCTATCCTTTCCTGTAATATTTTCAGGGTATCTGCTCTTATCTTAAAGTCTTTGATCCATTTGGAGATGATTCTGGTGCAGGGTGATATATAAGGATCTATCTAACTTCAGTTTTCTACATGTGTATAGCCAATTCTGCCAGCACTATTTGTTAAAGAGACTTATCAAATATTAGATGGCCATAGATCTGTGGGATAATTTCTTGGCCTTCAATTCATTGATCCTCAGGCCTGTTCATGTGCCAGTACCAAGCTGTTTTTATAACTACAGCTTTATAGTAGAGTTTGAAGTTTGGTATTGATCTTCCTGAGGTGGATCTTATCCAGGCCAGGGCACCTGAAGATGGAACATAACTCCTTTAGTCTTTTCCCAGCTTCCAGACTTGTACCATCATCTCATCATGGAAGAACAGGCTTCTAGTATTTTACATATCTTTTAGCCCCATTTTGCCAAACTGTATTCCAGTTAAATGGGTCAAAGAGGTCCTGGGCTTCCTCTTTCTATCTTTACATCATTTGTGGGATGGAAGCTCTCCCATTGTCATAACATACCAGGATTATTAGAATCCCCTAATAACCCTCACCCCAGCCCACTGATGTCAAAATTTCACATCAGGAAAGCCCAACCAGGAAAATGGAACACATGCACACACACACACCATTGGATGTTCATCTTGGAAAAGCAAGCCCCTGAGTCCTAAAACTAGTCCTCCTTCAGTGGCATAGAGATTCTGGCCAGGAAGATAAGCAAGTCTCAAGGTTGAAAACCTCCATAGCTCTGCTTGAGGGAGCTGACGTTATTTAGAACAGGGGATAGTGCATGGAGAATTCCATGCCCAACCAAGGACATTGTCAAAAGTGATGAACATCTTGATGAAGAGCAATTAAGAAAGCACTCGTAGCTCCAAGATGCAGACAGCAAAAAAAAAAAAAAAAAAAAAGCAAAATGGCAGATCAACAGTGAGGCGTACAGTTGAGAGTACAATAGACAAAAAGAGCCAAGACAAGCCCTACTGGGATCATAAGAAACATTAGAGGTCAGAAAGGCTGAGTGAAGTGCTAGACTGTATTAACTCAGCTACAATCAGAAAGGCTGTTGGCAGACCTGAAAACTTCTCTGAGCTATACATATGGCAGTCAACACAATAGAGAAGCATACCTACGCTGAGCACCACTGGCTCATGCCTGTAATCTTAACTACTCAGGAGGCTGAGATCTGAGGATTGCGGTTCAGAGCCAGCCTGGGAAGGAAAGATGGTGAGATTCCTATCTCCAATAAAACACCAGAAAACTGGAAGTGGCACTGTAGCTCAAGTGGTAGAGCACTGGCCTTGAGCTGAAGAGCTGAGGGACAGCGCCCAGGCCCAGAGTTCAAGTCCCACGACTGACCGAAAAAAAAAGAAGCATACCTATAGCTAGAGGCTGTCACCAAAAACTGCTTGAACTACTGTGATCTAGAAGCATCTCCATGGAAAGTCTGCTTAGATACAAAATCTGTATATATACTTACCTGTCTGAAGGTTTGCATTTGTATACACACTTAGGATTATACCTAAATATGATGTGATGAGAAAAGGAAAGTTCAGGCTAGTAATCCCTCACAAGATGTAGAGACAAACACAAAAACTGTGATTGCACCCAGCAAGCAATGTACCTGCATAAGGGATTTGAAGTACAACAAGAGGCTGCATGCTGCATGGGGGATAGAAAATTCACTAAATACATGTTACCAATTACACACACACACACACACACACACACACACACACACACACACACACACACACCACTCTAATTCCCTTGGAATAAAGAAGAAGCACTCAATAAGCAGAGTTGTTACATCATGCAAAATGCCCAATTTTCAACAAAAATTACAATATATAAAGGATCAGGAATGTTGATTCTATATTACTTTGCTAAGGATGCTATTACAAAGCACCAGAGACTGTGTGGCTTAAAAAACAGAAATATATTTTCTCAAGATTCCAAATTATAGAAGTCTATAGTTAAGATGTCAGCAGAGTTGTTTTCTACCATGGTCTTCTCCTTATTTGTTGATGATCATCTCCCTCTGGCCTCTCCTTCTTCTTAGGAGAGCAGCCCTAGTGAATTAAGCATCAAGGTAATGACTTCATTTTACCTGAGTTACCTCTTTAATGACCTTATTTCCAAATATAGTCACTCCTCAGGTACTGGGGATTAAAACTTCACCTTACAGAGATTGAGGTAGTACCACTAAGCCCAAACCAGACCTGTAAGCAGAATAATGTCAAGAAAAATAAACTGCTTTGTGATTATCTAACAGATAGAGTGACTTCAATGCATTGAAGTTACTAGTACACTCAGTGAGTGAAAGAAGATCACATCTCTAGACCTGAAAGCATCTCTGAGCCATACATATGGCAGTCAACACAGTAGAGAAGCATACCTGCAACTAATTAAAATGTATGATGGCACTGTCTCATACCAAATAGATACCTAGAAATAGAGAAATTATTATTTTTAATCACATGTAAATTATGGACTTGAAAGGTACAATTTAAATGAAAAGATGGTCTAGTAGCTCACCAGAAGGCTTGGACTGGCAGAAGAAAGAAGCAATCAACTTGAAGATAGATTCTGAAATCATGAAGAGAGAGATAGAGAAAAAAGGAATTAGGAAAAATGAACAGTACCTCAGAAACATGTGGGACAGCATTCAGTGCACAAATCCCTAATAACAGGAGTAACAGAAGGAGAAGGAAGAGAGAAAAAAATGAGAAGGAAGCATCATTTAGGACACAGTGTCTGAAAACTTACTAAATTTGATGAAAAGCATTGATCTATCTATCCAAGTAGCTGAGTAAACTCAGAATAGAGAAATACAAAGATATCTGCAACTGGACACACTACAGTCTAAATGTGGAAGAACAGCAATGGATAAAGGACTTTGCTCTTACAAAGGTTTAAAAGATTAAGAGTTGAGGGGCTGGGAAGGTGGCTCAGTGGTAGAGGGCTTGCCTTGCATGCCTGAGGCCCTGGGTTCGATTCCTCAGCATCACATAAGAAAAAAGCTGGAAGTGGCACTGTGGCTCAAGTGGTAGAGTGCTAGTCTTGAGCTGAAGAGCTAAGGGACAGCACCCAGGCCCAGAGTTCGGTCCCCATGACCGGACCTAAAAAAAAAAAAAAGATTAAGAGTTGACTTCTTTAAAACAATGCTTGATAAGAAATGTACTCATTATCTTGCTCATATAATTGTAACTCCTCTGTACAGTATTCTCACAATAAAAAATAACAATATATAAAACAATGGAGGCTATTAACAAGTAGATGAAAGTTAAAAAAACATCAACCAATAGTCTAGCAAAATTATCTATGAAAAGTGAAGGCAAAACCAAAACATTACCAGATTTTTTAAAGCTCCTTTTTGGCTGGATTCAAAAGGAAGAGTAATTTTGTTTCACAATTTACTCTAAAAGAAAGTCACACCAGAGACTAATTCAAGTCCACATTTAAAAAATTAGGAGTGACTGGATCAAGTGGTAGATCAAGGCCCTTACAAGAGCAAGATGCTGACTTGAACCCAGATAACCACCAAGGGAAAGGTAAAAGAAAATTTTAAATGGGAAAAATTAAAAGCATTTAAGAAATAGAGAAGATAAAAGTAATTACATAGAAAAATAAAAAAGACAATGTAGTTGAATATTTATCTCCTTTCTATAAACAAGTATAAGAGAGAAATCCCCTAAAAATTTGTTTGTCATATTCCTGAATTGGTAGCATAGAAATGTAATGTGTTTGACAATAACGGTGCAGAGAAAGCAAGCAACAAGATAGCTTTATTGGAGTGAAAATGATGTAGGATGGTAGCTCTAATGGACAGAAATGAAGAGAATCACAAATGGTATACAAAAAAGGTTAATATAGCAAGCTTCCAAAATACTCTCCTTCTTTCTATAGGGTATCTGAAAGATTATATAAAGCAATAGTTATAACAGTACATTTCTTGGACTACAGAGAGTGGACATTGAAAGTCCACTATCCATAATATTAAGAGCACCCAAGGGGAAATTCAGTTTCCTTGGCTAACTTCAGGTGAGAGGAGAGAAGGGCAGCTCTGAAGGACCATCTTTCTTCTGTTTTCACTGTCCTTCAGGTTACAGTACTCGGTGGATTCTTCTGAAGTTTCAGAAGCAAGGCTGGGTTTTTGACAGTATTGCATGAGATGTGCTTCCCTTAAGCATTTTCACAACATCAATGTGTTACCCATCTGATTACCTTACCAAAAGAATACTCAGTATGTTACAGTACCATATTTTGGTGCAGCATTTACCTATTTGGTAGATTTTTCAATTCATTGAGTGAGAAGGAGGAAGGAAGGGTTTGAGCATGGAGGGAGAGGAGGGGAAACAGAGAGAGAGAGAGAGACAGAGACAGAGACAGAGAGACAGAGAGAGACAGAGACAGAGAGAGAGAAAGATAAAGACAGAGAAAGACAGAGAGAGAAAGACAGAGACAGAGAGAAATGAAGACAAGATTTTTAATGAGACCTAAAGTATTAAAAGGTAAATCTAAAGAGAAAGCTCATGAATGCAATCAAGAATCCAATGTATATCCTACAAAATTAGGAAGAGAAGGAGAGAAAGTGGGTAGGGGTGGGATGGGTGAGAATGTTAGAAGGTTTGTCATTGATCAAGAAACTGCTTTGTTAAGTGGCAACTCTTTTGTACAACTACTTAAAAGAAAGATTCAAATGGAAGTATCGCAAATCCAAAAGAAAGTGAAATCCCTACACTTAAATTTTGTTTTAAAAGAGATCAAATATTACTATTTTTCATATGCCATACATTCTATTTAAAAAGAGAAATCAATTTCAATAGCTCTATTGAGCAATAATTCAAATCCCCTACAACTCAACTAATTCAAGTGCATTAATACTTTAGTGGTATTTAGTATATTCATACACCCAATGTTATGCAACCATCACCACAATCTAAGTTTCATTGCCACTGAAAGAACCCCTGAAATCCTTCTATTTAGAAAGGTAAAAAGTACTATGTAGGACCTGGGGTTATGGGGGTCAAGGAAATTAGGGAGTGGAAGGAGAGGTGAGACAATGTCTGTATTCTATTAGATTGCCTTGGACTCCTCTGTCTCTACTAAAAGAAGACCAACATCTTTCAGATGTTTTCCCTAGTAAATTTAGCTTGTGGAACATGCACGGCATGGTTCCATTTAAGCCTAATGGGAGTATGCAGGCTCATACAAGGCTGAATTGTGAATTGTGTTCCTCCCCACAGCAATCTCCCGGTCCTTTCCAAACAGGTCCAGGGTAAGCTGGCATCAAAGCTCAGTGTGTGTTTTCCTTGAGCAAAGAAGCAATTGTAATCCAGTGGTGCTGTTTTAGCTGGGCAATTTTCAAACAAATACTTGCATTTGGGCAGCTTCTAATAAGGACTGTGTGGCTTTCTTTCCATTTATTTCAAGTTTTAGAGACCATAGTACTAGAGAAAACCTAGAATATTCTATTGTAAAATAATCGGACTGTGACTAGAATATTCACTGGAAGCCAATAGCTATAAGAAAATGCACAGCCAGGCAGGGAAATGGATGGAGCTAGAAGAAATCATGTTGAGCGAGGTAAGCCAAGTGCAAAGAGACAAACGGCACATGGTCTCCCTGATAAGTGGATCTTAAATCCAAAATGTTAGGTGATACAACAAAATTAACAGTACTTAAGAAACAAAGGACTTCCACACATCTGGTCGAATCACTAGTAAATAACCCCATGCTGCTGATCACATATATGGTATATATGTGCACACCGGAGGGAAACCAGGACAACACAGAACTAGAGGGAATCAGGGGAAAACATACAACAGCGGGACCCATCAGCTGCACTGGACATTGACCAAAATGAACTAAGCAATGCAATGGCAGCGATGGGGGGAGGGAACAAATAGGAAAGAGGGAACAGCTGATGCTATGCAAAACAAAAGAAATGTACATATCACTCAATGTGGAAGAAGTAACTGTATCGCAAAACTCATAGAACTCATAAATGTTATAGACCATGATAGACAATCTGTCCTATGAAAGTTACAATGTGTTTGTGACTTTAACTGAGCATCACTATCCCACAATACTGTGAAACTTGGGAAATTATGTAACCACTTAATCACAATAAAAAAATTTGAAAAAAAAAATGCACAGCCAGGCATCAGTGTCTCTACCAGATACCAGTAGTTCAGGAGGCTGAGACCTGATGATTGTGGTTCAAAGCCAGCTCAAGCAGGAAGGTTCATGGGACTCTTACTTCCAATTATTCAGCAAACAACTGGAAGTGGAGCCATTTCTCTAGTAGTAGAGTGTTAACCTTGGGCAAAAAGCTCAAGGGCAGCACCCAAACCCTGAGTTCAAATCCAGAACTGGAACAAAATAAAAAAAGGAAATGTACAAAATGTTTCCTTCCTGAGAGCTATGAACTTAGAATTGATGTAAGGATTGATTACAAGGTTGACTCTAGCTGGGGCGAACTTTGTCTTGTTTTTTATTTTCGTTTTTGTCCTCATTTAGGTGTATCTTGACATCTTTACATCAGACATACCAATTACTAAATTCAATATATTGTTCTCATATTAAACAGCCCTTTTCAAAAAGGTGGTTTTTTTCCACGTGCGATTTTTCTAAAGCCACAGGAGCAAACAGTTTGTGTGTAAAGACAAAGCAGTGTGTTACTAGCTCTGTAAACTTTTGCTCCTCTGTTCCCTCTGCCGGCTGAAGGGAAGAACTACTGGCACTTCATGGATATCTAAGCAAATCTGGAAGCCTGCACAAGAATTCAGTGAAGTGCAGTAGTCAATTTTAAAATTTTCCCAAGACCAGTGAAGTTTCTTCTTCCTATTACTCCTCCTGCAGCATGAGAAGTGGGAAAGCAATGCACACAGGACCTGTATGGTGACAGCTGGTAGGTCAGCTTTGCTTTCAGCCAGTGTGACAATTATATAATGAATGAAAAAGGAGTGGATTCAAAGGAGAGTCTTTTTCCCCTCTTGGGGAGATGGGGGAAGATCTCAGGAAGGGTCTGAGATCCTGTAATGACCTACAGCCATACACATTATTTTATAATGTTATAGGTATTACGATTTGAATCTTTAGTATTCCCAAAGGTCATGTGTTGAAGCCTTGGCTTCTAGCTTCTGGTGCTATTAAATGGTGGCAGGACGTTTACAAGGTGGGCTTTAATGGCAGAAAGTTGAGTCAGTGAGAGCATACCCTTGAGAAGGACTATCAGAACGCTGACACATTGCAAGTGCTCCCTCTGCCTCTCCCACTCCACACCCTCCCAGGTGCCATGAGGGGAGAAGTTTTACTCCACCACATTCTACCCACCATGATGTTCAGATTCATCCTAGGTGTATGTGTATGAGACCATAGGCTAAAACTTAGGGAATCATGAGCTAAAGCAAACCTTTTCTTCTTCAATGTTGATTATATCAAGTGCTTTGTCACAGCAATGGAAAGCTGACAAAGTAGGTATTGTGTTACTGAACATGCGGTTTTTATCTTTGTCCTCTGAGTTGAAAGGATGCGAATATGTTACTTCTTCCTTTCACAGATGATCACCTAGCTACTAACTTCTTGCTGCTTAATCAAAGAAAAAAAGTTATTTTTTTAACTGAAGCAATATTTTTTTTCGTTACTGCCTATAATAACTTTCTGTCACTGTGACAAAAATACCCTACATAAATAAAAAAGAAGAAAGGTTTTGGGGGGGGCTCCCTGTTTTAGAAGCTTCAGTTCATGTTCACCTGGCTTTGTCATGTTGGCCTGAGACAAGGCCACATCACATTTGGGAGTGTGTGGAGGAGGGAAAATAATCACCACGTGTTGGTCAGAAAGCAAGAAAGACAAAGGTAGGGCCACACCCCAATTGGTCCTAACCTACTTTCTTTCACTGGTCCCACCCCATGCCTTATAGGTTCCATTGCTTCCTAGTAAAGCCACAGATTGAGGACCAAGTTTTAACCTATGACCACAGCAGAACATTTCATTTCTAAATAACAATCTTGCTTCTGTTTCTCTGAGCTGTGGATATAGGTGTCAAAGAAGCAATGAACATTTTAAAAAATGGATTGGATTGCACTTAAATTATTTTTCACTAGCAATGTATTTCTCTGTCATCTACACAATTCATGGAATTAACCCAAAATTTCAAGGGCTAAAGCAAATGGATAAGTTGATGTAAATATACTTTATTCATAACTCAATAATAAATGTGAACATGGGTCTCCAAGTAACATAATTAAAATATTAGAAATAGTTTAAATCTTGAGATTTTGACCAGATTGACAGCTGAAATGAAAATGTCCATCCTACTTCAGAATCAAAGACTTTTAGATCACATTATATTTAGTAATGGTATAATATAATTTTATTATATACTATATATTATATAATACATAATATTAAATTTTATAATTATTATAATATTTATATTATATTTATTTTCCTTTCTCTCAAGAGATGGAAACAACCTCACAATTATATGCACAGTAGGTTCTTTGTAACCACTTTTTTAGTTTACCCTGTCTCCCTGCCTGTACCACATCAAAGCTGGACATGAACAAAAGTTAGTTGCTACAGTGCCACATCTGTTCCTTGATTAATCCAATCTTGGATTGTTAGGGTTTAATGGTACTTCTTGAGACTATCTATCTATCAAGCCCTATCTATCTACCTATCTATCTATCTCCTGACAGCTTGCCTTGCCTTTAGGACATATATGGTCCCTTCACAAAAAGACATAGTCACAGAGGACATACATCATGCTTTCTTCTAAGCCCTCCTTTATGAGGCTTGTAATTCAGGTTGTTTTTCTCTCACAATGCCTCACTCCCAGGACCTATATATGATTCAGTCCTTGCCCTCTATACTAGTAAATGCCTGGTCCAAGTACCAGGTGTTTCTATAGTTTACTTGACAGTTTCTTAGGATCCCTTTTTAATTGATGTATAATAATTGCACATATTTGTGGAGTACAGTGTGAATTTCTATATAAACAGTGTGCAATGATTAAATGAAGGTAAGTACCATTTCATCACTTCAAACACACAACATTTCTTTGGGGTGAGAACATTTAGACTCCTATTTAAATTGATGTTACTGTACCGTATGTGAAGAGTTTCTGTGAAGGAACAAAATAAGATCTGACAAATCTAAACCTAACAGAGTTAGGGTGGTAGTAGAATAACTGAGAGAGTTATAAAGAACTGC